TTCTGCTGGAGCAGGGATCCTGTAGAGAAGGATGGATTCTTCCTCTGAAGATCCAGTGGAAGAAGAGGCAGCTGCTGTTCCTCTGGGGAATCCAGTGGAGAAGCTGTGCTGGTGTTCCAGAACCTCCAGATTATATCCATGTAGGAATGCTTGGCTCCTCCCTCTGGGCAGAGCATCTCCCAGTGGGATGTTATAGCTCTTATCAGCCATGCAGGGACATTCAATAGCTGTTATCAGCAATGTCCCCTCCCAGGGAGGAGTGATTGTGGTCACTCAGAGAGAGAGATCAGGCAAACTGCCCACGTGACAAAAGACAACTGCCATACAGATGGTAATGGAAAACATCTTGCATTGCAATCTGGAACAGAGGGTGACTGGAGGTCTCCGATGAAGCCCAGCTCAGTGGGAAAGTCAATGAGAGAATGGGTGTAGGGAGGATTTCCTGGAGGCTGGCTGTGGGAAACGGGGTCCCCCAAATGGGGTGGGGGTGAAGAATGAGCTGTGGCAGTTGGTGCCGTGGTGTGGGTGATGGCTGGAGTGTGGCACTCCCTGTGGCCCCCATTTGTGCAGAGTGGCTGCACATCCCACCCCACATCCCTGCTGCCATCCCACTCCACTGCTGGGGAGCTCTGATCCAACCCTGTCCCTGCAGTCACTTTTCCCACCTCTCCTCAACTGCACCAGGTGCTGATGACACTGATGACCATTTCCAAGAGGCCACTGCTACAACCACCACGTTGGCCCCAACTCGTCCCAAGGAGGGTAAGTACTGGGATGTCACCTGGGGACACAGTGACAGCCCTGGCGATGCTCCATGCTGGCACAGGGTGGAAAAATAAATGGCTCAGGCAGAGGCAGAAGATTTGGCAGTGCCTGGAGCAGCCCATGATGTCGCTATAGGACACGAAAGAACACAAGCGCACGCCTCTGTTCTAAAGGTGAAGAAAAAAGGGGAGTTTATTTTCTGACTCCAACATTTATAGTTTTCCAAAAGTGACAGTGGATTGGAGGGTGACAGTGCCACTTCTCCAATGACACTGGACAGACCAACAGTCCATCAAATTTCTCCTCCTCCATAAAGGAATGCAAAACAATGAGTTATTTACACAAAGCGTGTGAGAAAGTTGGCTACAAGAATGTCAACATCAGAAGGCTTAGAAGAACTTAAAAACCCAGGGTGACATCATGGGGAGGGGGAAAACTGATGACAGTGTTAAGTCACGGCCTCTCCTGGTGCCCCCAAGGCTGGTTCAGGCAGAGATGGTGGACATCAAGGTGGGGAGAGGAGGTGACCAAAGGGACAGAAGTGGGAACTGTCTGTTCCATGATGCTCCAAGGGTCACCCCCCATTACTGGCTGTGCAAAGGCAGTAGGGGAGCTCTGGGCTGACCCCAGGGCAGGCAGGGAGAGTGGGGCACAAGCAGGAGCTGCCTCACCCCTTGCCCTCCCCAGGGTCCCTGCGCCTGGTGAACGGCAGCCACCGGTGTGAGGGGCGGGTGGAGATGTTCTACCTGCACCAGTGGGGCACCGTGTGCGATGACGCCTGGGACCTGCGGGATGCCAAGGTGGTGTGCAGGCAGCTGGGCTGTGGGCACGCCCTGGCAGCCTGGGGGGAGGCTCACTATGGCCAAGGAACCGGCTACATCTTCCTGGACAACCTCAAGTGCAAGGGCCACGAGCCCTCGCTGCTGCGCTGCTCCCACATCCGCTGGGACGTCCACAACTGCGACCACTCCGAGGATGCCGGTGCTGTCTGTGACATCCTATGACCCTCCCGCAGGTAAGGGGGGACAGGGAGGCTGCAGGGAGCTGGTGGCAGTGCCACAGAGAGGGGTTGAACCCTTGGTGCTGGTCTGGATGCACTCCCAGCACTGGATGTTTGGGGTCTGAGAATAGGAGGCTGAAGGAGCAAAAATGAGCAATTTTAATTATTTTGCTACATTCTGGAATAGCCTCTGGCTCAGTGCTGTGTGGGGCTCAGGAGCTCTGCTACCCAGGAACTGGATGTTTGGGGTCAGAGAATGGGAGGGGTTGGGTGAGCACTGGGTTCTCCTCAGCTGCTGAAATAGTGGCTGAAGTTTCCTCTACCCCCTCCCACCCCCAGACTGCCCCTTGGAAAAACAAAACTGCTTCTGGTGTGAAATCTGATTGGTTTCAGCCATTTCTCTTAAGAGATGGGGAAAGAAAAATGGATTTTCTGCTGTGAAAATGATGTTAAATTATACTCAGACAATGTAAAAAGGGGGCTGAAATCACACCAGGATGCTCCTGTGGCTCTGCAGTGAGTTACTGTTGTTCTGCAATTTGCTTTGCAAGCCCTCCAGCAATCCCAATACCAGCTTTTTTCTTCCCATTTTGGCATCAGAAATACCAATTCCTCCCCCATTCCCATGCAGCAGAAATGCAGGCTTTGGATCTCACACCATCTGCAATCCTTGTGCCTGTTTCACCTGTTCCTTCTGCAAACACTGGGGAGTTCAGGAGAGCTCAGATGAGATTTCCCTTCCTGGGGGGCTTCAGCACAGCCAGTCCATGCCCTAAAAACCTCCTGGGGAGTGAGAAAGGATGGGGATACCCTGCAGTCCCCCCATCCTTCTCCGTCCTGTGCTGGCTTTGGCTGCTCTGTCCCAAAAGCTCCCAGGGCAGGCAGGGAGCTGGCAGACAGGACACAAGCAGATGGAAAACCATAGGGAAGACCCCAAATCCCTTCCCAGAGCAAAGAAAGGGACCCAGGAGCCTGCAGCTTCCCCTGTGCCCTGCCTTTGGGGTATAAAGGCTGTTTTCCTCCCAGCTCAGGTGGAAAGACCCAGCCTGCAGCACCAGTCACCTTCACCACCAAGTGTTTGATTCCTACTGGGACACTGGGAAAAGGATTTCCATGTTCTCATGGATGGGGTTCAAGGGTGGGGAAGGGCTCCTGCAGTGGCACAGAGCTCACTCCTCTGTCTGTGCAATTCTGTTGTTGATAAGAGACTGTGCATATTCCTGGGTTGGGTTTTTTTCATTTTCCAATTTTTTTTTCTTATATGTGTGTGGGTTTGTTTTTGTGAATACATAAAAGCCCTTTGAAAGTGCTCTGAGAGCTGATTTGTTTTCCTGTCATCCCCTCAAAGCCCTGGGTAAAAGCAAACACCTGGAGAAGAGGAGATGCCCCAAAACTGGAGGAGAGAGCTCAGTTCTTGGGGCCAAAAAATTGTCCCAAATCCCTGGCTCAGATTGCTCAGGGGGGCTGAAATTAATTTAAATCCCACCCAGCTGAGAGCTCAGCTTGGACCTTTCCCCACCCCAGCTCTGGGGTACAACCCTGAAGCCCATCAGGCTCAGGGGCTGAGGTTGGATTTTCTTTGGGTTTGTTCCCAGTGGGATTTGGCAATCACGTGAGCTGTGGGGTGGCCCTGGCCCCATGCTCAGGCTCCTGTTGGCTGCTTCTCTCCCACTTCCCATGGACAGAGCTTTCCCAGCACTTTGACCCCAGTTCAGATCTCCATCAGTGGGGAAACTGAGGCATGGAAGCATCTTCCAGGCAGGCTGTGGCAGCACAGCTGTTCAAGGCCTGCTGGAGCTCTGGGAGAGGGCAGGGAGGTGGTGTGGGAACAAAATCCTCCTTTCCCTGTGCTCCCATGTCCTGTCCCCTCAGTTTCCACCTCACCTCCTGCCTCCAGGACAGCTGGGCAGTGCCTGGTCCTGCTGGGAGCAGGAGGGGACAGAGCTGTCCCAGCAGCTCCCAGCCCATCCCACAGCCCACACCAGCTGGGGATGGGTCAGAGGGTGCTGGGGGCTCCTCCAGCTTTGCTGTCCCCTCCCTGTGCCTGCGGGAGATGGGAGTGGGGCCAGGAGTTGCTGTGGAAGCTGCTGCTTCTTGAGGAGGAAGACAAGAAATGCTGGGTGGGTTTTCCCTGTTTTTCTTGGGGACTATGCCTTGAGCTGGCAGAGCTGGGCTGTTTTTTTGGAGTTACCCCACACCCTGCTCTTCTTGGCTTTGAGCTGGGAAGAGCAGGCCCTGGTATCCTGGAGTTTCTGCCTTTCACAGCCTGCAATCCAGCAAGCAAAGAGTTTCCAGGCAGGAAAGGCAGCAGCTGCCTCCCTGTCCCCCAGCCTTTTCTCCTGCAGCCAGCCCGGGATGAACTGAGATCCACAGGGATCCCCCCAGACACTCCACAGACAAGCTGGGCATCACCTGCTGCTCCTCTGGGAGCAGGGAGCGGCAGGCAGGGGGGGAGCAGGGTACCAGCAGGGGGATGCCTTGGGGCAAGGAACAGCGGGGTGCAGGGTGCCCTGGCTCTGCAGCAGGGTGCAGCAGCACAGGAAATGCTCAGAGGCTCATTTGCAGCACAGGNGGGGCGGGGCCAGATGGGGAGGGAGGGACGTGATTGGTGGAGGCGTGAGGGAGAGGAACGGAGAGCGTGAGGCGGGGTGGGAGCGAGAGTGGTAATGAATATGGTAATGAATATGGTAATGAGTGTGATAAAGAGTGTGTGTGCGGGACCGAGTGTGGAAATGAGTGTGGTAATGAATATGGTAAGGATATGGTAATAAATATGGTAGTGAGTGTGCTAGACCGAGTGTAGTAGAGTGATAGTAAGTGTGATAATGAGTATGGTAAAGAGTGTGCGTGTGTTGAACAGAGTGTGGTAATGAGTGTGATAATGAATATGGTAATGAGCGTGATAAAGAGTGTGAGTGTGCGGGGCCGAGTGTGGTAATGAATGTAATAAGTATGATAATGAATATGGTAATGAGTGTGAGTGTTTGGGACTGAGTGTGGTAATGAGCGTGATAATAAGTGCGATAATGAATATGGTAATGAGTGTGATAAAGAGTGTGAGTGTGCTGAACTGAGTGTGAGTGTGCAGGACAGAGTATGATAATGAGTATGGTAATGAGTGTGAGGGACCCAGCTTGAGAATGAATGTGATAATGAACATGGTAATGGATGCGATAAAGAGTGTGAGTGTGCTGAACCAAATGTGGTAATGAGTATGAGGGACCAAGTGTGGTAATGAGTGTGAGTGTGAAGGACCAAGTGTGGTAATGAGTATGGTAATGAGTGTGTGATAGTGATAATGAGCATGTATGATACTGTGTGATAGTGCAAGTGGCAATGTGTGACAGTGAGTGTGTGTTAGTGACTGTGTGTGTGATGGTGTATGACAGTGAGTGTGAGATAGTGTGTCATAGACAGTGTGCCTGTGAGTGTGATAGTGTATGATAATGTGTGTGAATGATTGTGTGTCACAGTGAGTGTGAATAGATTATGAAAAGTGATTGTGTAAATGATAGTGACAGTGATAGTGTGAGAGAGAGAGAACTGGTGGTGTGTGTATGTGGGACACTGTGAGTGTGACAATGTCTGTGATGGTGTGGGGGTGTGTGTGTGTGACTGTGCACGAGTGTGATATTGTCCGTGTGAGTGTGATACCATCCATGTGAGTGTGAGCATGGGTAGTACAGGGGGGTGAGACATTACTGCTCCTCCATCACCACCCTTGCAAGATGTGTGTGTGTTTATTTGGGAATTCCTTTGACCCTGGAGCACCTTGGAGGTTGCTGCATCACTTATTCATGCTCTCCTAGAGGCAGGTCAGACCCCACCTGGGTTTTCCCCTTTCCTGGGACCCCCACCAACACCTCAGCAGCAGTAATTAAAGAACCCCAGAGCCAGAGAATCATTTAGGCTGAAAAAGCCTCTTAAGATCACCATAATTCCTTCTGAACCAGGAAACGTTCACCCGTCCTTATCAAATGACTTGAAACCTCCCTGGACTTTACACCCAGCAGCACTGATTCACCCATGCCGTGATACACCTGCCCCAAAAGGTTTATAAAATAAAGGAAATTGTGTTTGGAGTCAGCAGTTACAGCAAAAAAACCAAAACAAAACAAACCCCAAAAAATCAAAACAAACAAAACAAAAAATAAAACCCACAAAACAAACATATAAAAGCACGTTATACTGGAGGAATGGAGGGATATTATAAAACTCTTCTTCCAGGGTTAAACATGTGAGACTCATCTTGTTGTTTTTCATCCCAAAATGTGCAGTGAAACCCCTCTGGAGCTGCCTCCCCCCACATCTCAGCCTCGTATGCAAATGCCCATGGATTTCTCTGCTCCAGGATGGATGAGACTGTCACATTCCTGCGTTCAAAATACTCACAAAGTACTAATAATTGCCAGAAGTGATTGATAGCCTGCTTGTAATGCGTCTGCTTGAGCAATAAGCTTCACATTTACAACTCAGGTGCTTGGGATTCCTGTCTCTTGTGGCTGTAATTAGAAACTGGAGAGCAATCCAGAGGGGTTTTTCTTCCCTGAAAAACAGATAGGAATGCTTTTCCAGAAAAATAGATAGGAATGCTTCATAGAGCTGTGCTGGGAGCAGACTCTGTGATCCATGTGGTTGCATGGGTGGACAGATATTAAATATCCTGTGATCCTAAACAGGAAAAGGTCTCAGGGAGATTTGAGGATGGTGAAAAGGGTTTCTGTTGAGCCTTGCAGACCTTCCTGGCATGACTGGGAGATGAAGGGATGCTCCCAGTGAGGAGCCCAGGCTGGTGAGGGATGTTGGGCGAGGTTTAGGGTGATGCTCCGGGGCTGAAGGTGCTGCTGATAAGGGCTGCAGGGTGGGGCAGAGCTGAGCTGAATTGGGTGCAGCTCCTGGCTGGAGGGAAGAGATAAAGCAGCCAGGTGGTGGCTGAGCTGTGGGAAGAGTCTTAAATTGCATTGTATTTACTTAATTTTTTATTTTTGAGCAGGAATTCATGATCTGATTTTGCATCAGGGTCCCTAGAGGGTTTTGCCAGGCACAGTGAGTGGCTGAGATGCCTCAGCTCAGCAGTACAAGTGCATGGCTGCTCCTCAGTCTCCCTTTTCTCACCCCTCTCCATCACTTATCCTGTATTCCACTATGGTCCAACACCCTGAAAGGAGTTAACAGAGCCATGGGCAACATGAATGAGGGGTCTGGTGACCAGCTGAGCCTGTCAGACACCACTGCACAACCTCCTCCAACCATGTGAGGGTGACTGTAAAGATCCTCAATGATCCCCAAGTCTAAAAGCTGAACCTCAGTGTCCTGCTGTCCCTAAGGACCCTGTAAAAACAGAGATGCAGACCTCAAAATCCTCACTGCCTGCAAAAATATTTTCTATTTTACATGATTTTTACCTTAATGATCTCCAGGTTTTAACAAAGTCCTTTATGTTTTGGGGTGATTTTTTGGGGGTTATTTTTTGGGGATTTTTTTTTCAGCTGGACCCCTTTCTCCTCATGCTGTTCTTCCCCACACCCCTCTCTGCATGCTCCCCAAATCAGCATGCAAAGCAGTGAGTCCTCCATCGAGCCATCACCTCCTGTCTGATCCATCCACACTCTGGGGTAACCAGCCAAATATTTGCCTTCCCCCTGCTCCTTTGCTTGCAGTGCTGCTGGAAGGCTGCTGAATTAATTTCTCCGTGGTTGCTCCCTCTCACAGGGTTTTGGCTCGAGGTCCTACATTAATGTCTACAAACCCTGGTGCTTGAGGCTCTGTTAAATTGCCAGGCTTAGCCTGGTGCTCCAGGGAATGGCCTGGCCACTTAGGAAACTGCCTGTCCAAGCTCTGCTGGGATTGCTGCAGCACTTCCAATTCACAGCCCACTCGATTTCACATTAATTTCCCTGAGCAGACAAACCCAAAGTGACAGGAATTAGGAAGAAATTCCTCTGCAGGCAAAGGATAATAGGTGAAATTTCGTTTCATTTTCCTCTGCAGCAGCTGCTGCTGGTTCCTGCCAGGTTCCAGTGAGACACAGCAGGGATGGATCTGGTGTGGGCCAGATCCTCCTCCTACTGCTGGGTGACTGTGATGGTGTTCACAGGGGTTGTTGGATGAGGGAAGAGATGAGCATCTGACTGCATGTTTCAGAAGGCTTGATTTATTATTTTATGATATATATTACATTAAAACTATACTAAAAGAATAGGAGAAAAGGTTT